ACGTCCGCTGCCCCCAAACGACTTCCATTAGCAGTGATACAGTGTGTGTGTGTGTGTGTGCTTATTGAGGTTATGTTAGGGTATATTAAGCTACACCAGGCTATATTAGGCTACACCAGGCTATATTAGGCTACACCAGGCTATATTAGGCTACACCAGGCTATATTAGGCTACACCAGGCTATATTAGGCGAGGAAGAGTCAAAGTAACGATATATTAACTTAAATTACAGGAAGTCGGAACGCCATCCACACCCCAGCCACCCAGCCAACACCTCCTCGATGCGATCCAGAGTTTGTGTTGGATAGTTCAAGCTGTCAAGTTTAATTAAGCTTACTTATAATAGATAGCGTTAATTTAGATTACAGTAGGTTAGGTTAGGTTAGATTAAGAAGAATTATAACAGGAGGTATATCAAAATTATCCCAGAAGTAAAATACCATCCGCTTTCCAGACAGATCGACCTCCACGTGTGTGTGTGTGTGTGTGTGTGTGTGTGTGTGTGTGTGTGTGTGTGTGTGTGTGTGTGTGAGGCTGCTGGCTTGTGTAACAGATATCATAAGGTAGAGTCACCCCCTTGAGGACCACAGGGAAACAGACCTTATGAGACAGACCAGAGAACTACTTTCCCTACGTCTAATGATACAGTCTATCTCACACCCAAGAAACTCTAGTATTTTTTATTAGCGTTAAGATCAAAGTAATAAAAGTAATAAGAGTAAATAAAGTAAAAAGTTGGTATTAGGTCGAGCTGGGACACATTGTTGTCATTTCCTCCTGAAGTGAAGCTAAATTATAGTTCTCTTTCTTAACACTAGAATGGTGTTATGTTATGGTTTATCTCAAGTAAAATTTAGATTAGATTAGTTTCAGTATGTTTAATTTTGTTGGATTTGGTCTAGTTACGTTTTAGGTTAGGTTGGGTTAGGTTAGGTTGGGTTAGGTTAGGTTGGGTTAGGTTAGGTTGGGATCTTCTAGAAATGTGGCCTATGTAATCATTAACCTTCCTGTCAACACAGTAAAGGTACTTGATAACACCACAATATACCACCATTATACCACAATATACCACCATTATACCACAATATACCACCATTATACCACAATATACCACCATTATACCACTACCACGTTCCTTCACCACCATCACAACCACCACGACCACTACCACCAATGTCATTAACACCACCAATCACCACTAATACCATCACCACCAACACCTTACCCAACCACCACCACTATCATCACTACCAGCAGCAGTGTGTGGGGGAAACAGATGTCTGCAACACAAGGTACAAGAGTGGATACTTTATCAACCATCCGCCTTTAAAACTGGGGAAAAAGATGGGTGGATATTGGTGTGTGTGTGTGTGTGTGTGTGTGTGTGTGTGTGTGTGTGTGTATGTGTGTGTGTGCGTGTGTAATTCGAGATAAGAGTAGACACATTAAGCTTTTAAATATACGCACCTCGTTAAAATTCTCCATAAAAAAAAAACATTAGTTGATATTTAGCTCAATTTGGGATACCTTCTCACGCCTCTTGTTATGAAAGTATAAACATTTGACCTTAATGGTGACGGACGGTACATTGAGTATTTCCAAACCACTGGTCTTTGTTCGGTTGATTATGTCACCTGTGTATACCTGCTCCTCTCTCTCTCTCTCTCGCACCTCCTCCCTCTCTCTTGCCCCTCCTCCCTCTATCATCACCATCACCACCACCTCCATCACCACCTCTTCATCACCACCAAAGTCACCAGAACTCGCCACCCTTCCCCTCCCCACCATCACCATCTCCCTCACACTGGGTCCATTACTCTTGTTATTGATGTTTTGATGACTTGCAATTCTATCATTGTTTTTCCCTGAATAAGTCATTGTCAGGTTAAAACCACAAATTATTATAATAAACACAACAAATATATTTTTTTTTAGCAAACTGTTTACATTGGTCAAAGGAAGAACACATACGAATATTGGCATAAACACAAATTCACCAATGGACTAACTTCAATAAAAAACACCAAATTATCTTTCTAGCAAACAATTAAAACAACAAAGGACTCAAATACCATAGATAAACAAGAAACAGGCGGGAAGCACATGTGAGAGGCCAGCAAGTTCACCAACGAACGCGTCTACCTGTTTAGGATGATTTCAGCTCAGCGGCCGCATCCCACCCAGGCGACAGCTAACGGTCTCAGCGTTGGGTAACAGACAGTCTGGCTAATCATCCAAGGAGAGCTACACCTGGCTACTGTTCTTATCTTTTTTTTTTCGTAATGTGGAATTATATTACGTGGATAAAAGCTCTTAAATATATTACCTTCCTCAATGGTATCTGTTGTGTTTTGAATCCGACGTTACCACAAGATGCATTTGATTAGTGTTTGTCTAATCTTTTCCGTAGATAGATAGATATAGATAGATAGACAAACAAATGTACATCGATTCAGTATACACATAGACAGTGCAGGTATACAATGGTAAACAGTGAGTCGATTTTGACCAGGGATAGCGCAAGAAAGCCTATAGGATTATTTCCATAACTGTAAATATAAGTTACTATCTCAAACACTAAATATAAGTCACTTTCTTAAAAAAAAAAACAAAAAAACAGTAAATATAAATAACCTCCCTACAAAAAACTACTGATTTTGTTATTTTCTAGAAAGAAAAAAACTGAAAAAAATCTTTTGTCACATTAAAAAAAAATTATTTTTCACCTGACGGGCGGTGAACGAAATCCCTAACCTTACCTAACGCAGCTTAGCGACTTGACACTGGCAGGGAAAGTTGCAGGTCTTCGGTGGTAAGGGAGTGTTAATCTTGTCTTGTCTACTCCTACGGCCTTAACCCCTTGTCTGTTGGCATTTTATCCAGAGGGAAATTGTCAGGTGGAATTTTGTCCAGTGGAAAAATGTCTAGTGGCATTTTGTCCAATGGGAAATTGTTTACGTATCATTAAATATCTGATGATAAAAAAATGATCCTAACCTAATCTTCCTAATCTCAGGACCTTGTAACGTGATTGGTCTCAGCTAGCGAATCACTTTCCCAATCTTATGGCCTTGTAATTATTTTTCATTGTCTCATTATTCGAATTAGCGTAATTACTCTTTTATTGCTTGTTATGAATGGATTATATGACATTGCCTCTTCTCCCCACTGCTTGGGTTAGGTTAGGATTTTGGGTTTGAAATCTCTGAAAGGTTCGAATCTTTATTATGTGGGTTTCGATTCAATGTACTCGGGTGTATTAAGGAGAGATAAAAAATAATGGTATGATGCTTAAATCCGCAGAGGTTAATAAAAATAAAATCCCTGTCGTATAAATATCAAAAGGAAGAGTATAATATTTTGCTCAGTCTTGTGTTCATAGGTGTTGAAAATGGCTTCCTTCATGATCGATGCAAATGTGGTTTTTACTGATGATAAAAACAGTTAATTTCATAGATCATAAAGTATCGCACCTCATAATTTTCGTGATATTTAAAGCGTAACCAAGTAATATTTTATATCTTTTGATAATGATGTCACAGCACAGACTAAAACAAAACAGAAAAGAATAACTTTCACTTGTTCGCTCCTAATATCTGAAGATTCGACAACTCAGGATTACTTCACTGAGTCCTGTGGTAATATTCAGATTAACCCACACTCCAATGTCTATTATTTACCTTGTTAAAACAAATGGTATTACTATTATCGGTTGTCATAGGTCGAGGCTGTGATGTGCTGAGAGACTCCCAGAAGGGCAAAGGTTAGCAACTTGGTGAAACACGGGATGGTGACGTAACACACCATGATAATAGTAACCACTTCACGAGTCAATTGTCTCCGGGAGTGGCGTAGCTTTTTAGCGTCTGGCCGGGTTGTGTAGCTTAACACTGCACGCATGAATGATATTAAATATACCGCATGACTGGTTCACAAACTAGTTTCGCTTCTGTAAAGGTTTACTGAGGATGCAAATAATATTAGCGACACCAAGACAACGCCGAGCATAAACGACTGGTTATCCCCCTTAACATCATAAGAATAAACTGAAGGTCACTATGTCGCAACCCTTAAGGGATCACGTTTTACTAAAGCAAAACCTGAGACTCGTGTATTACTGTAGTGTTTTATAATACAATCCTGACAGTTAAGGAGAAAATATTGGAAACAACATATGCAAATTATATACATCGAATAATAATAATAATAATAATAATAATAATAATGCACATGTAATGCTCCCCAACATTTAACAACAGATAAGAATATTTCAATACATTTAATTAACGAAGATCACAGCTTTACTTACCGTACAATAATCTCCTAATTACCAACAAACTTTCACTTATATAAACATATCAAGGGTGCTATTTACATCTCTACCTTAAAAAATCCTACAACAAAAACCTAAAAGGCAACACATTAAACACGACACTAATTTGATATTTCTTAAAGGCCAGATTAACTTATATCAGGCACGGTACAAGACTATTTCTCCGTTAAAATAATTCCTTGATAAGATTAATTTACTTGTCTGAATATCATCAACTTTATGAGAATTTTGTTTTAATCTCAATGAGTGTAATTATCTGACATGTAATTAGTGAGGTTTCAGTCTGATTAATAATGGAAACCCCGTCTTTTATATTTTCTTCAACCTTTCTGACTGATCATGAAAGTCTATCATTTTGACTAAGATAATTGACTGTTTAGGGTGACTGTTAAGTGAACTCAGTCAGCCACAAACATACATCACCTGGTTTAGTCTGACTTAAAACACTCACAGCTGGTGAATGTACTGCATATGCTCTTGTAATTGCAGCTATCCTCTTAAGCACTTTGCCTTACTTAATGAGTAATATACGAACCCTATCATACATACTAACTACTAAAATAAAATGAATACGGTTTCATTTCCAGACTTACGTTGAGGATAGTTATAATATTTCTTTCTCATTAAATATTACCGAAAGCAGTTCATATAACACCAGCTAACTTACCTTGTTTTCGGGAAGGTTTGCAGCCAGTCAGTAAACAGGTCAGCTTTCCGTTCTCAGCTCCGAAGCCGTACAAGGGAAGCAACACACCTATAAAAATTAATTCAGTGTTAGATATTTTACGCGCTATGTTCGTTCAGCTTTAAAAGTTTACCCTCACTAAACACAAACTCTGAAATTCGTGTCACCTGCTGCCATGCAATTCATCTAAAATATTCAACAATGCTAAAATTACCCACCTCAGTCACCTGGTGATGGTCATAACATTTATTTATTGCTGTTAGGTTTGGATAATCCGAATTGGAATATTCTCGGATATATTAAAACACGAAGATCGAGTTTACTGAAAAGATTGTTGTGGTTCTCAAAAAAGTAAAATACTTCAATGAATTCCACATAACGTAGTGTAATTTGTTGACTCTTTTGACTCATCTTTATCAAACAACAGTCGCTCCAGTTCTTAGCGTTGGTATCTTCTGTCAAGTGACTAAAGCCGTAACGAGTGCAAGGAAATCACTTAGTCCACTGCTGTATGATAGAGTGTAATTTCAGCCATAGAAAATGCAGTAATTATGTGGCCCACTACATATAATCCAATCCGGTATTCCATCATTCACATGTTAAAAAATCAAATAAATGTCTCCCTCTGCACCGACGTTATAATGTTGACACATGATAACGTCGGTGCAGAGGGAGTACAACAACATACATTTATTGACACTTACCTAATACTCTTACAATTATGATACTATTCCATTATGATAATATTCTGTTGTTTAATTTATCTGTTCGTGAGGAATTTCATATTAAAATAAATCTTACACACGAGACTTAGAAACTAGCGTTAAGAAGCAAAGAACAACCATTTATGTGATGGAGTGCCACTTTATATCATTGTGTGACACCGCGCTGGCTAACACTACGGTACATAGAAACGCGCATCTTGGCCGATATCTCTCACTGGCACTTAACTAAACATACACACGAACCTTGAGGCTCGTTACTAAACATCACTAACATTGTGGTTTGATTCGTATTTGTAAATAGTGGACGATGTAAATAAACAACTGGCAATAACTGCACACCGCATGTGAGTGGGGGGTTCCACCATGAAGAAGATAGAGTATTAGTTCGATAAGAATGTAAAGTACTGTAAACTTTGTGGCCAACCCGACTCTCACACCCTCTCTCACTACATCCTCACTTGCCCTATGACCTCCTCCTATAGGTCCCCAGCCGTTACCAACACCTCTTCCCTCCCAGACCAGATATCCCTCCTCCTAGTCACAGGCCTGGCATTTGACATTATTAGGGACCTGCCACTCTTTGCCATAAACAGATAAAATGTACCGGGAACTTTCCCCCCACACACTCATCATTCTCTCACTTTATGTAACTTGACAAAACCTATGACCCTTCAGGCTTTTACGCCCTTAATGTACGAGTCATAAAGGCAAGTATGAACTTTTCATACTTCCCTGTTGGGCGCTGTAAACGCTTCTGCGCTTCACCTTGCACAGGATGTAAGGGGGTGCCCAATAAACTAGCCCCCTCGGGGGCAAATCTGAATCTGAAATGTAAAGTACCTCAATGAAGACGCGATTTGTCGAGTATAAGATTTACTTTATGATTTGGCGTCCCGTGAATTTCCTACAGCTCGGGTTTATATGCACTATTTTCTTTAATTCCTGGTGTAAAACATTTGAGCACGACTAAAATTTACAAGTTTAAAATCATTTCATCTTTGTCAACATTTTACCTTCAATAATATAAAATTCAGAGCTTCGTGCTGTTGACTAAGCGACCGAAACACATTAACGTGAGTGACCCGGTGTTGGAAGCCATGACGACGCGGCTTCTTCACACACCGCTTCTCACTCGCTGTCCTAGATATTTGACCACAAGGTAGCTGGTAATAATGACTCGTGATGATTTTCTCCTTGTCTCTTACAGGTCACTTGCAACACTCCTTCCTGTTACAAGATTTACCTCTAGTCTTTTCCGTCCCTGATAAGTGTTAAGAGCTAGGGAGCAGTTCCGTGGCGTACAACAAGACTTATGGAATCCAACACCGTTATTCAGAACCTTTCATAACCATTGAGATGTACGGGTTTCAGTATTAAGGAGCTACATCACCAAAATGTCACCAAATGAATCTGCTTCCTGGACACGATATATTGTTACCAGTGTCTTGCTCGGCGGACCAGTTACTCACGTCACTCATAATCCCCTTGCAGATTGATTGTGGGAGTAAATTGCTTTTCCTTAATCCTGTCTGTGAAAAGATAATACTGTATTGTTTTTTTAGTATTTTATAATAGATTTTTAGTGATGGTAGTTTTAGATTTTTAGATACGACCATAAATGTAAGTTTATTTCCGTATTTCCTTGAATATTTATGCTACCATTATCTCTTAACTACTGATATTTTATGATATATCAATACCTCAGTAAAATAAAGTGGTTAGCTCACCAATCAATTGCCCCACAATCAAGCGGTTCCTGTGAGTCCTAACCTAACCACACTAAAAGGCTACAAGATAATGTAACAAGGGGATGTTTACATGACTACTAGGAACAGTACAGGGGAAGGTGTTACGTGTTACTTAAATACACTATCAATGTAACGTCCATGGAATCTTGACAGTAGTTCATCTTTGTGTTGTGATCCGTCATTGTTTGCCTTACATCTTAACTAAGTCCAATTTGACTAAGGGAAGCCCAGTGCAGGTTTATAAACAATGGTACACAGTAAGTCCATTTAACCAAGGCCAACTAAAGCTGCTAAACACATACTGTATTTTCATTACCTAGTTTATATCTGCGTAAGTTGTAAGATGTTAAGTTATTCCAGTAGTTGTTGAGTCTTCATTTAAACAGCCGTGAGCCGGGTCAGTTTGTTGGTAAATCCCCCCACAGTCAGTTGCATGTGTTCATATACTGTATATATAGCGAATGTCTCTCCCTCAGCCAGTTCCGCTCTGTTGGTTACGCCTCTATCGCTCGTGAGGATACACTCTTGCCAGAAATAAAAATCCTCGTATTTTAAAATCAATATGACCTACTTTCTTATACGGGTACTTTTGTTAAGCGTGTTCTCAATAAACTACAAGCTCTTGGCAGGATAAGGAGGAAGAGTCGTTTACTCCTTCGTCTGGTATGCCCACGTATGATAATTATCGTACTTGTTCTTCTCTGCAACCTGATCACGGCAACATAGCAATCTGTGGGGACTCACGGGTACTAAAAATAGCATGTGGAGATTACCACTTTAAAGGTACAAGTACAGCGAAATGCAAATGCAAAATGACCGAGAAATAGCATAAAGTAACATTACTGTAACCTGGAGCCTTGAGAGATAAATAAAGCTGGATGTAATTTCCCAACCTAACGCGTAGTGGTGTACACAGTGAGGTGATTGTGTGTATTGTATACAAGTTCATCAACGCGTGGTGTATGTATGTGTAGGTGACTGGTGGGTGGGTGTGATGACAAGCAGATATTACCGGTGACTATTACAGTACGGTTTTTTTTTTTAGGGTGCTGTTTGGAGACAAGTATTAATAATTAAACTAAACTAAATATTATTCTCATTTGTTCCATTTATATACCTTATCTTGATTATAGATTTGGCCATTGGAAAATTTTATGTTTTTCAATTATGATTTTGTCCGCTAGAGGTTTTGTTGATGCGGTATTAACATCACTTGACTCTGGGAGATAAGAGGAGGAATATGAGTTGAGAGAGGCGAGTTGAGCTGAGTGGCTGCTGGCAGGCTTGGTGAAGTTGGGCCGAGTTTAGGGTGTTTAGGTGGTGGTGGGTGGGAGGAAGGGGGTGGCGTGGCGGGAGGGGAACGCTAGAGGTGGGGGGGGGTAGTGGCAGTGGTGGAGAGGGGGAGAGGAAGAGTGCGAGAGTGTGGCGTGGGGTGGATGATAGTGGCGTGGGGAGGGAGGTGTGGCAGACAGTAGTGGTGTTGGGTGTAGGTTATTATGGCGTGTATTCTGGAAAATTCATACGTATGTTTTTTTTTTCTTAAGATAAATAATCACACTAGAGTCTCAGGACAACTTACACACCATTTTAGTTGCCTTGGGCTGGGTAGATACGTAATATACTGTACATTCACAGTGACGGGAAAACTTTACCTAAGACCCAAGGTAATTCACGGAGGCTTTACTGTCACTTTTTTTAAGACTTGAAATTAAAGTGGTGATAGATAGATGTAGAGGGTGTGGGTGGATGGTGGTAGCCCTTTAAAGATGGCAATAGGTAATGATGGTAGGAAATGAGGATGGTAGATGGTGGCAGTAGTGTTAGTAGACTCTAAATAGTTGCTGCAATGTATAAACAAAAAAATCTTGCTTCCCTGTTGTTTTTCCAAGTATGTGAAAGTGGTTTTTATTTAATTATATTCCTTAATGACAGTGATATTTACAAGGATGCCGAATTCGAGTTTATTTTCTAACTTTTAAATGACAAAGTTTATATACTGTAATATTATTATGAACTTAAAACACATCGTTGGCACCATTATCTTATCAGTTTGGTGGCCGTATTTCACAACTATCATCTCCTACCACAACTATATGTACTATCAGCATTCTTCATCATTTCACTCTATATAAACTGACACAGTATCTGGGGCTACAACGCAGATTGTGTCAGGGACATTCCTGAAAGGTGGACCCTGGAGTTTGTTGTGGTGGACGCGGGCGAGAACTTCCCTGAACCACCGAGAAGCTTCCAGATTATCTTATTTCCTCACCTTTGTTCCCGGGACAGCTTCACGCTCGTTATAGAACATTCTAGGGAGTTTATTAATGTTTAGAATCTGCCCGTGAATATTTACATAAGCCAGGCAAACTGGAAAGTCTTTAATGAGAGACGGAATAAATATTAAAGCTCCGATCGCGAATTTACAGTCAATGCTGGGCTTTACATATATATGTTCAGTATTAATGCCAATGATCATCTTCGTGTGTAACTATAAAGTCAATAGTTAATGATCGAGGTTAAATTTATATCATTATCATTCTCGAATATTATGTTTAGTGAGTCGTGTGTAATTTTCTCTGTAGGCGTATGCCAATGAAAAGTTTATCTTATGCCTTAATTACTCATATACAGGCTTTTTTTAGTTCTCAATTTCTTTGTTGGTCGTACTCATGCTAGGTGAACATCTATGAACGCTGACTTCTTGCATAAGAAGCTTGTTGCGTCGTCGCTTTTGGTGAGCGTGGTACATGTGGCACCAACGCTTTAAAGCCCAAAAGAGAAATGGTGAATGAAGTGGCAACGTCGCTTCCAGCTGACGGACCACCAATGAGAGAGCGCATGTGCATAGCGGCTGACCAATGAAAAGAAACACTGCTTGTGACGTCATACCTGTAAACACGGAACAGCTGATGACTCCACGCTGGCTGTAATAAACAAAGCGACGCCGAGGGACGTGGAGTGAGGAGTGTACGCGGATAGCTCCCGAGAAATTTTTGATTTCACCAAACTTTTGACTTTAATATTACATTATAAAGGTAAGATTACTTGTGTTTAGTATATGCTCTTGAAAAGTGCAAGAAAATGTTATTAAAAGTTAGAAATATAGAAGAAAATACACTTATTGATCGCCTCGGGCTCAGTGCATCAAGGTTCGCAGACCTGTGTTACGTCGCGGCGGCAAGTGTGTGCTCGTACGCCACACTCATATTACTGACCATATTATTCTCCCATTGTTGGTTGCATTATCTGTGTACTGTATACCCATATCTTCCCACTAATGTAGATGCTGAATATATTACTTTATATCGTGGAGGTTACAAGGGAGGGTAAAGGTGTTTGCTTTGTAAAGTTCAGTATTAGTTAATGTGCATATTATTGCAACAAAGCATTGAAGCTTGAGTAAGATACAAAGTTAAGTCTCCCATCATCGTCTTTTATTAAAGTGATTTAGAATATAATTTGCCATATTATTCCTTCCAGATATAATGTTTTTATGCTCATAATTGAAAACTTTTTTTTTTTGTTACGGGTAGAACTGCCTCCTTGGTGAATTTTCTTGAGCAATTTGCAACTGATTTCCCTAACTTAAAGAAAACATGGTCCGTTACTCTTGAGATGATTACGAAACCCAAGAAAAGTGCACCAAGTAAACCATTGTCTCTGCTGTGGCCTTTAGATAAATTGAAACAATCTATCCATGAACTGTGATTTTGATAGGAATGGAACACAGTGTTGCTTCCAGAAACATGAGTTGGATACTGGCTATCTAAAATGAAAAAGTAAAGTGCTCACAACCATAGAAAGCAGTACAGTACATTGCTTGTGACACTTCCGAAAACTTCATAGATGATCCTCATTCAGTAAAATGGAGATAAGTTTCGTCAGAATAGAAAAAAAATCATGTGGGCTGCCATTGTTCAAATGACTTTAATTAAAAATTCCCATGCATGATCAGTGCGTGATGTATTCACGGTCCAATACATGCACTTTTTATTTTATAATAAACTATTGGAAAATTTTGTGTTTACAGTATACCGGTATGTGTTAATAATGTGTAAAAACGTTAATTTAATGTTGGCATTGGGTTATTTCAGACAAAGTTTGTATACTTGAGTCCTATTATAAGCAGTTGGTTGTTTATATAATTATCCCTTTATTTTCAGTCACCTGTGTTGATTGTGCCACAAAACCATCATCACAATGGGGAGCACTGAAGAGATCACAAAGCTTCGCTCAGTGAAGAAAAAGCTTGATTCTAATTCTGATGAATCAGATTCCAAACCCAATTCCAAAAATGTCTCTGGGGCAACTAGTCCTGACCCATTGGAACATGGTATTGATGATGATCTAAAGCCCCTGGCTGAAGGTGAAGCAAAATCAAATCAAAGTGATACAGACAGTGAGACAGAGGGGGCCTGTAAACCCAGAGATAAATCCCCGACAGGAGGAATAGATGTTCAAGGTGCTCGAGCCAGGGTTAACAGTGAGAGTTCATCAGAAAATGGGAATTCTTCGAGCTCTGAACACAGCAAAAGGTAAGGGTTATTATTTAACTACAGTTCATTTATAATTTATAGTTTGTTTTACTTCTTTTTAATTTTATAAAAAATAGATTAGATAAACAATAGACAAAAGAGATGACCCTTCAAACTTGTGAAATGAGAGCGGTTTTGTAAGTTTCGTTTGTACTTATTGTTTTGCCTTGCTCAAATATCTACAAAATCAAATTAAATGTTCCAGGTTTTAAATAGAGATCAATGATTGGAATTATAGTCTTGTACAGTACAGTATGTCCCAGTGTTGAGTTATCATCTGATTTTAGGAGAGAAGTGGTGTTTGCAACTGTTATTTTATATATTTGCTAAAAACTCTTCAACAATGGTACAGTATATGGACTTTGGGTTAACTAGGTGTCTATCTTTGTTAAACTGAGGTGATTCATTATGCTTTCCAATATATGAATAATGCCATCGACAGAGTTATCTATTGTTGTTAAATCTGGGATGAGGACTATTTCGGTTTTTTTCATTTTCATTAGATTAAGATTCTTGAAATTACATGAAAATATTAAAAGTGATAACTAAATAAAGTACTTACTTGTGTTATTTGTGATTGTGTTCAACTTACTGAAAGTATGTACACAGTGGATGACATTCAAACATCAACACACTATCAACAGCTGCACCCTCTTGACATTGAATACATAATGAGATGCGACCTTGATTACTGCTGGCCTGGATGATCTGAACTTGCAACTGTACCTGTAAGAAAATATATGGCAGTGCATGAGCAAAAGTTTATGTGAAAATCAAACAACAAATCCGAATAAATTTAATCACCTATTAAATCTTGTTGTCATTGATGTCACTGTTATTGTACACTAATGCAGTATACAAGTGACTGTACAGTATATTACAGTACATAACATTAATCTATGTCTTAGATTATAAATTCCTGTTGCTGACACACATTTATGTCTTGAAGTTGAACTAAAGTTCTGATTAAGTGTGGAGAGAACATATACCCACTTGACTGTGTATACTGTACTGTGGTAAATGTCAAAACTAGTATTCCCAGGCCTAGTTCTTCAGTGATGTGAGGCAATTAATGGAGAGTTGAAATGAATGCGATCTGAGTATCTACATGATTAGTTGGATACCTTGCATAGTCCTGTTACAGACACTTATTAAAGAAGTTGCTTCATATTTTAAGATTCATTGTGATTCTTGGTAAAGTGTTGAAGAGATCTAATACCTCGATGCATAACCTCTTCAACCTCCTATTGAAATGGTGACGTCTGTATGATGCTTACAATATCCTGTTTCGTTTAAGGTTTATTTTTTATTCATCGGTAATGTTGATCAGTTTATACGGCACATGTTATTACACTGCTAGTCATATAAACAGTTTATTTAGCTAGTATAATACAGATATAAAGTGAGCAATGATAACAATATTGACATGGTTGAGTCTTTTGAGTGCTGGAGCTCTCTAGAAGGCAGGTGTGAGTGAAAAAAAGCAACAGAGTGTTTTATATGATACTCAGGAACATCTCTCGAGTCCTCCCATTAGTGTTCTTTTCTCTGCCGTCTGACAGTTTTTAATTTAATATCGTAATAAAAAACTTATCAAGAGTCTATGCTCCTGTAACTAACATACTCCCATGACTGAAAGGAAAACAAAGGAAGATTATTCTTAACACTAGCGCATGGCAGGGTCAGATCCTGGAGGGCGTTGGCAGTTGACCTTGGCTCTTGCATGTGTGTGGGTGGAAGTTGGATGACTCTTTTGGGCAGGTGCTGTTAGGGCTAAAGTTGTGATGTTGGGATTCTGAGAAGGAGGCTTTTATCATTGTTCACAAGATGTTGGAGTGCTTTAGCTGAAGTAAGATTCTGTGTTTGTTTGTTTCATGGTTTGGATATAATGGTTTTGACAGAGTAGAGAAAATAACTGGTTTAACAAATTAGATAAAACTACTGTGTAAATTATTTATTTATTATTTTTTAGTTATGATGATGCTTTCTGAAATTTAATTTTTAATACATCTTTTCATTAAACCAGTTTATTCCAATGGCTTAAGCTGTAAGTAATAAAGGAAGAAAAGTACTGTAATTATAAACCTTACAGCTTTTATCCCTAAGAGGTTGTTGTTTCAAGAAGGGCTATACAGTTAGGTAACAGTCAAGGACTGGGCAGGTTCACTCCTGGAGCTCAACTGACTAGTCTAGTCAAGGCAGACTACTAACCCCTTTGTGACTCAGGGCACCTTGTACATGATACAGGTATTGATAATACACACAGTATACTACAGTATTTTAATATTATTTTAGTAACTTATTGTTAAGGGATAAATTTAGTATTTTATTTTAGGTGATTTAATTGGTATATTTATTAAGGAATTCAATTGTAGGAACACTAACCCCTTCACTATGGGAACGCCACTTTCAATATTTTATTTGGGCAACACCAGACGATTTTATTCAGTTCAGAGGGGAGCCCGTACACTAATATGTTGTTACTGGGTTTAGTATTGTATGAAGTTTCCCATTTATCATGTTAAAAAAAGGTTAATAGTCATGTTAGATCAATTTTTTTTCAGGTTAAATTGGCAGTACTACTCTATCTGGTTATAAATTGATTTTATCTCAGAGACCAGCTATTAATTGATTAGGGGAATTTTTTTAATGTAATTGACTCTATGTGTCTCAAGCAGCTCTTATTATTACGGGTAATTTATTCTCCAAAAATAAAATTTCAGGTTTTATTTAGGTTATCTGAAGATTAACAAACCTAACATGAACTTTTGACTTATAGATATATTTGTTTAATGCATCATTTACCGAAACATTTTAGGGTCAGTTAGAAAACCAGAAACACATATTTGTTACTTTGACATTAAAGTAATTCCTCTCTCCATCTATCTATTACTTCTTCTACCTTCTACCTCTTAGTGTGGGGTGGATCATGAGGTATAGAACCATCAAAGAGGAAGGGGGACAGTTGTACAAGGCTAGTGTAGAAAGAGAGAGAGAAGTCTTATACAGGTAACAGTATCCCTCACTCAACAAATGTTATGGTGACTCATCTGTATAATGAAGGCAGTGTGTGTGTGTGCTTTATAAAGTGAGAGGTTATTGCCTTTATGATGACTGTGTTGTTGGTGGGTGTTGAGGCAGTGGTTCCAGTCTCCACCTGGTACCATTGTCTCATTTCTTGTTTGTAATGTTTGTTGTTGTTTTTTCCAATTTTTATGCAAAGCTGTTCTGTTTGGGGTATAGTGTTATATTAACTTAGTTTTTTCTCAAGAATCTGGTAACAGTTTACTTGAATTATGAACAAAAGTCTTTACTTGATGAATCTTTTCTGTTACATCATGAAAGTAAATCCCATAAGCCTATTGATTCTTTAGGGCCAGTGTAGATACAGCACACAGTAAACTAAGCTTTTAGTACCTAAGGAGGCAGTATAGCCAGCACTTGACTTCTTTCACTTCCCTAATTGTAAAGTTAGGTACCCATTTACAGCTGGGTGGAATTGAATTCTTTGGCACAGGAGGGGGGCACTGTATCCACCTGGCCCCCACCACTTGTATAATCCCATCTACATATACTTTACTGATGTATTAAAACTGCTAAATTGCTATACAAGTTAACATTCCAATAAAAAATAATTGTACAAACTCCACAACAGATTACCCGTCGAGAATCCCTGGCTTGGCTCGATGTTTGCCAGTTCTCAGGTTTTCTCCATTATTGGTGCTGGAATCAAAAGGTTTCAGACAAGTTCATGGGTTTGTTCAGTTTTTGTGCATTTGAACCTGTGTGATATTTCACCCTAATAATAATTGTAGTTAGATCATTATATGGCTCTCTTACTTATAAGCCACAAGTACAGTGCTGTCTTTAATGCCTCACATACCTTAAAGATATTGACTGTGCTACATTATGGCTTTTAAAGACACCTTTCCTTGTGCTCGGTGTGTTTACATTTGAAATTTCATAAATTTTATAGCAGTTCTAACTTTATTTTTATTGTCAGTTTTAGTTTTGAATACCGGTCAGATGTTAGTGTTTATATGCCTTAGATATATATTTTGAATCAACACATTTAAAACTGTCTTCCTTGTACTGTATATGAAGGCACAGTATTTTTACTTATTACTTAGGACACCTTACTCTGAAGGGATGGTCACAACATGGTAGCCTCCGAGTTCCCCTTACACTACATACCTCCTTCACCTTCCTTGATTCCCAATACCCTGTCCCCTCTCTTCTATGATTTAGTTACTAAGTCTGCCTCTAGTCAGTGCACTTATTCTATTGCCCTTGCACACCCTCTTAACTCTCCTCTCCTGTGTCCATCTCACATGCTCATACCATCTTGGCAAGTCTCTCTACACCCATCCTGCCTCTTCACATTCAACACGTACCTTTCATTCCATTCTAAACATATTATGAACAATGTAATATGCATTATTCCATTCATTCTGATCACCCCAGATGCAGCTCTCAGGTAACTTATCTGTAAAGCCTGAATACTTGTATTCTCTGTTAGCCGGAATAATTGGTGCAGAGCCGTTTTGGGATTGAGAGATTTTTGGGTATGGAGATGAATTTTTTCATCCCCGGTATGGTACAGGGGAAAATTTTTTGATAGTCTAAACGACGTATCTCACATGCACATACACAGAGCTGTATTTATTTATGCAAATACCACTGTACATGTACAGTGCAAACATATTATAAATAAACAAAATATTGTACTGTACAGTATTCACCAGCAGATGCTGTTGTCTTGAGCTTGTGGTATAGGCAGGCCAAATGGTGATACAAGATGGCCTGTAACAGGTGTTACTAACTATCACTCTTCTCCCTCCATCAAGGACAGATTGTACACACATTGTATGCTGTACATACACCCTCTACAGTCTACACACTGGCCTACAGTAAATATACAGTACACTGTCCACTGCTATGTACTGTACTGTACATATGGTATTTCACACTTACTAAAGGTACAGTACTGTATACCTAACTGTAATCACTTTTTACATCTTAACACTGTTTTCACGGTATTCTTGGCTGATTATATCCTGATACAATAATGTTCAGTACTGCACAATACAGATCATATGCAAAAACAGCAGTGAACAAACAACCAAGCTTGTACAGTGGCAGCAGACAATGACCTAAGAATGTCATGATGGAGTTTGAGGAGATAGACTATGAGATACATCAGCCAGTCACATCACAGTAGTAGCCAATCATAGCTCACAAGCACTTTGAACCTACCCGCCCACACATCCCTGCATTGGAAACATGATGCGATCTCTCAGAAATTCGTTACCATGCCTAGAATGGGGAGACTTTCTCGGAATTTTCTGAAACGCTAAAAAAAATTCTTGCTATTGGAGAGTTCTGGAGATAGAAGGTTCCGGCTAATGGATACAGAATTACTGTATAGCATTTTGCTGTATTCCAAGTTATGTATTACATGTACTGTACTGCCTTCAGTTAAGGTATGAATTATTGTACTATCTTTCTTTGGCATATAAATAAAAACATTTGATTTTATACCTTTCAGTTGTGTGGACTTTACACGACTTTCTATGTTATTTCTTGTTTGTGTTGCCAGATGGTTTATTTGAAGGTTGTTTGGTTGTCTTCATACAGTAGTTCTTCCCTAAGGAGCTGTAGTGTGTTAGTAGGATGATTTATTTGTGGATTCTTTAAGCATCATAAGAATACAGTCAACAAGGATAAACAGAAATTGAATCATATGTATATACGAGTAACAATACTATATAATCGGTATACCTGCATAGATATACGTACTGTGTATACAGTGATATCTCCGTCAGCCGGAACAATTGGTGCAGAGCACTAACGGGAATGAGAGATTTCTGAGTAAAGATACGATTCTCTCAAAGCTGGAAAAAACTCCCACATCCCTGGAATTTTCCAGGTATTGGGAAAATTTTCTCAGAATTTTCCGAGAAAATTTCAATCCCGGCTATCGGAGAGTTCCAAGGTTGAGGGATTCCAGCTAATCGAGATATTACTGTATAGTATTACTTAAACTAGTGAAAAATATATATTGTACTGTACAGTTTATGCTCAACTATATTGTACTGTACAGTTTATGCTCAACTATATTGTACTGTACAGTTTATGCTCAACAAGAAAAGAAGTTTGTGTCTTGGTTAAGTTAGATGTTCCTTAAATGAGAATGTGTTATCATCTCCCAAACACGTTCCCTCTTCTTTCCCTAACATATTGTGTTCATTTTCATCCTTCACCTTATATACAGTACACTATGTGGCTGCTAGCTACTGTACTGTCATCATTTATGGTAACACTCTAAGGGTCACTTGTTAATAAAATGAAGTTAAATAAGAAACACCATTTTTATACAATACTGTACTGTACTACTCGTTAACCACTTGCGTGGTCGGTCACTTCTGTTACACACTGTAAAATGGAAAATTTTCTCAATATGGAGTATAGGAAAATGGTACAGTACCATAGTAATTTAGGGTAGCCACGAAATAAAAAATACGGTAATTACAAAATAACACGAGACTACTGCACTGTACGTATTTAACTATTCAAATTGAATGAATCTTCATTTTCCTCAATTTGATTATATTTAATTTACTTTTCCCTGGTTCAAATACCAGATAACTCTGAAACTATCTGTGTGTTGTGGGAAGATAAGCAAAAGGTACTATTGTCGTTCACAAACTAGTAAGGAGGTAATGTGATAAGAGACCAGCTCGGGCCAACAATTTATGGAAGGCTGAAATATTTCTGCTGTTATGGCCTTATCATTATACGTATACTAATACTGTATACAGTAGTTTTTAAGTTGGTTGTTTTTATAACATATATAGTATACTGTATCCACAAAACAATTATTGTATAGACAATGGCATATTACCCAATAGGGGTATTATGTTATTTTTACTACTGTGTTGTATTTTGAAAATATGTAACAAATAGCAATCAAGTTTTTTAGTACAGTGGTCCCTCGGTTAACGAGATTTCGGTTAACGAGATTTCGGTTTACGAGTTACCTTCCATAAGATTCTTAACTTCGGTTAACGAGCAATCCCTCGATTAACGAGTTTCTTACGAGCCGACCTGAACATGTTTTCGCTTGCATTTGGCGGTCCACCAGCTGTAGTATTAGTCCGCCAATACAGTAATCGGTTCTAGGGCTTAAATTCCTTACCATTTTAGCAAATATCAAGAAGTTTATACTATTCAATAATTTTAATATTAAATTTTTTAGTCATTTTAACAATTATTGAACCTAATTGAAGGTAATGAAACTAGTTTTATGCGCACCATCCAGCCTCTCAACACACCATACAGGCGTCAGTCTTTGTGTCTTTTCAGTGGAGGTAACATCTTGCTTGAGACTCTCTTCAGCTAAACGCTTTTTTCTGTGTTTACAAGCAAATTATTGGTCATTTTGAAATTTATTTTACATATTGACAATATATAATGCAGTGCAGTGTTGATTTAAAGAAAATAATCTTGAATTACACCAAGAGAACTAAAATTTTATGGGTGAAATGGCACCATGGGGTGACTTCTCTTCCTCCCCAATGCCTTCTCTTCTCCCTTCTCCACCCCCATTCTAATTCCCATCATCATCATCATCATCATCCAGGAGCCTTCTACATACACACCTCAAAGTAAGTGTACTTTTCTACCTTTTTTGTTGACTTTAGTCAATTTTCGGTGAGCTGGAACCAATTACCCAAAAACCCATTGAAACAATGGTTTCGGTTAACGAGCAACCTTCTGGAACGGATTGTGCTCGTTAACCGAGGGACCACTGTACAGTATTGTACTAGAGGGTCTTGATCCACCACTGTGTCTGGATGGTATGTAGTGTCTTATGTAGATCTCTTTAGAGGAAAATAAGTAAAAATGCTTTTAACATGTATGTCTTAAGTAATGGCAGTTTTAACCTACTAATAATAATGGCAGGTTTGAAGCATTACAGTACTATAGTGTATTTCAATTAGGTTAATGGTTTGCTGTAGCTAAAAGGCAACAAGTTTTTCCACTTCTTAGTCACTATTTCTTTGACAGGTATTTAAATCTTCTCTTTGTTTTGCCAGGCAGCGGACTGTAAGTGGTTCCTCTCCAGTCCACAACTTCATCTTCCCTGGGGTTGCTGCGTCCCCGCCCAAATTTATGTCACTAGAAGAAGTGATGAAAGCAGCCAAGGGTGTCAGTAATATGGTGTTGGCTCATGAGATAGCAGTTGATAAGAACTTCAAGTTGGAGAAGTTTGACCCTCCTGACAACAGTGTTGAGAAACAGGTTATATATTTTTTCACTCATACTGTACTAGTGTTCATGTTGAGACAACTCTCACCTTTGTTAAACATTGTTCTCCATGTGCATGAAAATGGTGACTGTTTATTTTTGTGGTAGCTAAACCAAATTAAATTTTTTTTGCAAATGTTAGATGCATAACTATACTATTTTATGCATATTCATATTATTTGACAAATATTGTGAGAGATACATTTTTAAATCTAATGGGTTCCAATAAAGATGAATTCTTTCTTTCAAAAGAGTTGCTTTTCAAGTGTAATCAGTTTGAAGTTATCATTTTATATTAAGCCAATCTTATGTAATTTACCCAAAAGCTGCTAATTTATGGTATGTTCTGATTAACATAGGTGAGGGATATAATGCACAAAGCCTTCTGGGACCAACTGGCTGATCAGCTGAGTCAAGACCCACAATGCTATGACCAAGCATTAGTTTTGCTGCAAGAGGTACGAGAGAACTTGTTGGACATCACTCTTCCCCATCACACACGCTTACGGCAGGAAATTACAGACACCTTGGATGTGGAACTGATCAAACAACAGACAGAGCATGGGATCCTAGATTTTGGCCAGTAAGTAGAAGTTTTTATAGTTTCCTTTCAAATATGTGAAGTTTAAAACCAAAGTCTATACAATGGTATTTAATTAAGTTTAGGATTTTAGTTATTACAGTCATTATAGAGACTGAGTGGTGATAAGTAAGAAAATGGCTGATTATGAAGTAAGATTCATAGAAGAACTTGGTTTTGTTGACTGAAATTCAACCTTTAGTGTTTTGGTAGATACGATTGATGGAAAAACTGGTTTACTGTACTTCGTTTATGACTCCGAAAAAATATATATTTAAACTGGAGAAATTATGTGAAATGAATGACTCAGTGACAGCATTAAAAAAAATGTATAAAGAATGTTTGACTGGCTGCATGAGTAGTGATAGAATTGAAGAATGTGTATAGTGAATGTTTGACTGTATATAGGAGTGGGAAAAGAATTAAAGAGAATGATTATAGCCTTTGGTTAAGTTATCTCAATAGAAGAGTAAATTTTAAGACCTGATAAGAGAGAAGCATCATTGAATGTTTACAAGAGATATTGCTGCAGGAAATATGAATGCAGGGACTACTACTGTACTTTCCCTTCCCCTCCAGGTACTCCCAATATGTGCTGTCTATTATGGCTCGGCTCTGTGCTCCCATTAGAGATGAAACCATTCGAAATATGATGAAAGAGAGAGATGTAGTGGGAGTGTTCCGAGGGGTGATGGAGACCCTAGACCTGATGCGACTTGATATGGCTAACTTCACTATACAACAGATTAGGCCTCATATTATTGCTCAGGTAAACATTTATAAAGTATTAAGATCTACTTTAATAACTGGCAAGTATCTTTAATTTGTACCTATACATTGTTTTATAAATAATGTTTGTGTTTTAATTATTTGTATTTTTTTTTAATGTTCTTATTCTTTATATAGAGTGTAGAGCCAATACTGTACTACCATTCAGCAGAACTTGATTACGTGTAAAAGGTACTGTGGTTTAAAATACAGAGGTTATCATAATTTAAATACAGAGGTTATCTTAATTTAAATAGAGGTTATCTTAATTTCCTAGTTACGGTGTCTATGTAACAGTCCTTATTTGTATTTTCAGAGTGTAACCTATGAGAAGAAAAAGTTTGCAGAGTTTCTGAAGACACAGAATGATGGTTTAGAATTAACAAGAGAGTGGCTGATTAACCACATCAAACCTGAAGACCTGAGTGTATCTGATGATAATGCCATGAGAGGGGTAGTGAATTCAGTTATTACCCGCTCATACTTGGAACTCCTCTCTTGGCCTGATGACAAACTAATGCCAGAGGTAAGGTTTGAAATACTGAGATTCTTCATACATTAACAGGGGGTGAAATAGTTAATAAGAAATGAATAGTTGGATTTGCTTTGTAGTGGTGAACAGATCACACACCCTGCTAAGTAATTATAGTAAGAAATCTCTCCGTTAGCCGGAATAATTTGTGCAGAGTCGTTCCGGGTTTTAGAAATTTTCTGGTATTGACACCAATTTTCTCATCCCGTAAAAAATTGCACATCCACAGAATGTTTCCTCGTCAGACTGCAATCGGACAGACACAGAGCAGTATTTGTTTATGGAAACACAACTGTACACATACAATATATTGTAAATAATCAAAATACACAACTACTGTATACGCCAGCAGATGCTGTCATCTTGAGCTTGTGATACTGTACAGGCAGGCCAAATGATGATAGGGGATGGCCTGTTTTATCCTGTACCATATACTGTCGCAGCTGGTGCTAACAGTCACTCTCCTTTCCCTCCATGAAGGAGGGATTGTACACACACTGTATACTGTACACACTAGCCTACAGTAGGCATATACTGTCCACTCTGCCACGTACAGTACAGTACTGTACTGCACAACACAGATCGCCTGCAAAAACAGCAGTGAGTGAGTGTAAAAGCTTGGACAATAGCAGTACACAATAAACTGAGTTTCATGATGTTAGAGTTTGAGATGCATCAGCCAATCATAGTCATCCTATGCACTCACATAACAGTACGGTATACGTAGTAGCCAATTGTAGCTCAGGAGCACTCCGAGACTACCCACCCATGATGGTGCAGAGTGTAATCTCTCGGAAATTCGTTTGAATGCCCAGAAAGGAGAGATTTTCCCTGGAATTTCACAGCATGCTAAGAACAAAAATCCAGGTATAGTAATGAAGAGTTCCGGGGATCCAAAATTCCGGCTAACGGAGAGATTACTGATACAGCAAATGTGCTTTACAGGAGAGGTTATCTGTTGCAAAATAGCATTCAGTGCTGATTATTTTTACCAGTGAATAAGTATTACAGTTCAACAGATTGGTGGTAATATTATTTGTTAATATGCTTGGCTTTTTTTTTTTTAGGTAAATGACATGGAAATGAATACAATTAAATGTATTGAGAATCTATATTTTTTTTCCTGTCAGACTGTTGTGCTGGATGGAAGCAGAATACTAGAGTTACGAGATTGTCTGAGTCAAGTGTGTATCCTTGGCTCCATGATACTCGTTACTCTATCATCTGTGGGTCCCATGATCACCCAGCCTGATGCCTTCAAACCCAAGCTCAAGCGTAATCTGTGTATTATCCTCGACCCAGCAGTAACTGACAAGTGAGTGACCCACAGAAAGGTGTTTGACTTCCATTTCTCTTTTATGTATCTAATAAACCAAATCTAAAACCCATGAACTTCTGAACAACAGGTTTACCCATTTTATGCATCATCTCCCAACATGTACAGGATGTAATTTATGAAGAGGTGTTATTGTGAGGATCCATCATTGTCAGTGTTCTTAACATTTTTTATAAGCTTAATTTAACCCATGCGCTAGTGGTAGTTTATTCTGTCATGCAAACTGTCAAGCAAGAATATAAAGCAAGCATAATAAGCCTTAAATAAGTAATGTAAAGCATAAATTGAGACTGGTATTTACCTGTGTTGAGGATGGTAGAGATGGTCTTGGGTGGCAAGTTCAAGCGTCTACCATTCTTTGCTGGTTCATCACCACTCTTATTATGTCTTGTTACACCTTATCACATCACATCAAGTTGCCCAGCACAGGAGGAACTATCACTGGGGCATTTAGGCATGATTGAGTAACACACTAAGTCGGAAATAATGGAAAAACACCAAGTCAGAGACACATGGTAAGTGTAAACAAGAGCACAGATGGTTCCTATCCCGATCGTTGGATCTCCGGGGTATCAACAGAACTTGCGGAGTATTTCCCCTATATGTAATCGTCGGTTATGCGAAACGGCGGTTAACGAGATGTAAAATCAGTGCAAACTTTCATGAGCTGTGAACCCCTGAATTACAGACAATACACTGTTCACTCCACGCTTGTAACAGGGCCAATCAAAGGAAGCTCATGATCGGTCAAGTCACGTTAGGTGAAATAACACCAAACGCCACTAATTATTAGAAGAAAAATTGGTTTGGCTTATATATACATTATCAACTTGTTTCACATGTTAATTGTTACTTCCCTAGCTTTGGATATCATTCAAGCTCAACACTTCATTGTTAATATTACTTACAGTTAATGCACATAGAACTTATAATTCCAGAAGCTGATATGCTATGGAGACTTGGAGGACTACAAAAGTAATTTGCTAACTTACACTAACATTGTGGGTTGACTTATTTACAAGGTTGTTAAATATTTTCAGGGAGACGATGGCACTGATGGAAAACTTAGCTGAACAGATAGTTAAGGAAGTGGATGATCACTTTACAGAGAATGAGAAGCCTCCATTGCCAGCATCTGCTAAGACTGCTCTGAAATCTCAAGTTTTGGAGATCAAGAACCCAGATCATCGCATCAGAACACTGATTAGTAAGTCTTAAATTTGATGACCAGTGTAGTGTTAATAAATTGATTTCCAGTATTTTGTTTAGGCAGTATTACATAACAATCTATGAGGTATATGAGACAAGCTGTCAGTTTTTTTTTATTTATTTTTTTTTAAATATTTAACAGAAGCTCTTGATATTCTTATGTGTCATTTATCATTACAAAGTCACTAATACCTTACTGGTAGCACAGTGGTTGAGTGGATACAGTGTTCCTCTCCTGTTCTAAAAGTTACTGGTTCATACCTCGGGCATACTTGGTTGACCCAGCTGTTAACGGGTGCCTAATTTTACAATTGGGAAAGTGAAGGCAATTGAGTGCTCTGCTGGCCACACTGCAATGCCATTAATAGGTTATTAGTGTATGGAATTCATTTTTACTTTAAGGCGAGACCAAGTTCTGCCTGGTGACGTGTTATCCAGGTACTTGTGTGCTAAGTATTGTACTGTATAAGCTTATTGATTTTCTTACCTTTCCTCTTACAGTGAAACGATCAATGGAATTCATTGGAATTCTTATGAGCTCAACTACTGCTAGACCTGTGCAGATTCCTCCAGGTCTCTCAACCCTACAAGAAGAGCTGGCTCACATTTGTGGGACATTGTTACGACTTGTCACACACAACAGATCTGTCTTTGGCGAGTATTATGCAGATATCGTAAGTAATCATATTAAGGAACAAAGGGAAAACGCTGAAAGTGAAAAGAAAATAGAATTTGAACAGGCAGAAAGTAGTACTGTGGTTGCCACTGAATCTGATAAGTGAAACCCAAAATGAAAAGTAATTTATTATTAACAAATACCTGTGAAGGCCTATTACTGGAGAAGCACATTAATAATATTATTACTCAAATGATAACTTTCAATGAAAAGTTGGTTTGGTTTAGTGTAAGGGTGTAAATATATGATTTAAAAAGTGAGATTTGAATGCCAGGAGAGAACTGAGGATTAAAGGTGAAATAGAATCAGGCTGCGGGTAAAAATCAGGCACCTTGACCTAAAATGATGCGTGTGTGTGTGTATATATATATATATGCAAGTAAATCACTGTAGGTGCGCGTGATCTAGGTATATGCTGATAACCACAAGGAAAGAAGAAAACACGAAGTTCCCAAGAGCTTTCGTGTAATTCACATCTTCAGGGGTGAGTACAGACTAAAGAGAAATATAAACCAAGGTGTATATATACAGAGGGTGAGACCAGGTCCACAGTGGTCAGGTATTAGGTAATGACCCTACTAATTCCTTGCAAGGAATGTAATATGTTTTACTTAGGCCAGACAGGTAAAGATCTTGCAACTAGAATTAAACAATACAAATACAGTGTTAGGACAGGCCAGGAATCCAATGCTCTGTTTGTTCATTTGAGAGATAACAAGCATTACATTGACTGGGATAATGCCTCCTCAATATTACCATGTAATTCAGTTGATAGTAGGAACATCATAGAATCTAGTCTTATTAAACATACCGAAGCATTCAACATGAATTTGAGTAACGGCATGTACAAGCTGGACAATTTTGGAATTAAGAAGATTTGTAACCAGGTGAGAAGGTCGGGTCACCTGACCATCTGACCTGACCACCAACCGTTGTGTGCTATTTAAAGATTAGTAGGGTCATTACCTAATACCTGACCATTGTGGACCTGGTCTCACCCTCCTCTGTATATATACACCTTGGTTTGTATTTCTCTTTAGTCTGTACTCACCCCTGAAGATGTGAATTACACGAAAGCACTTGGGAACTTGGTGTTTTCTTCTTTCCTTGTGGTTATCAGCATGGTTACTGAAGTACAAGATAGAATGCACTTACCATAATGATTTATACATACACCTTTTCCAGTTAGCATCATAGATGTTTCCAGTATCTCATTCTCCTAAGCATTTAATGACAACCCTGTGATGAATAATATTTATTCCTGTGCACATTTGTCTAATTGGTCTCTTATACTACTGGTAAGAAATAATTGAACCAGGCATTGTCTGTTTGTAACAAGATAATGAGTGTTGATTTGGTTCAAGACAATGAAGTTAATATAAATTCTCAGTAACAACATAGATCTAGTTGGATAACATATGTTTTAACTCTCTTGAAAAGTTACACTTTCATGGGGAAGAGGATATAGAACTATTACTGGTATATCAAGTTACAAACATTAAAGTTTTAAGTTAAAATGTTATCTGGATAAACTAAAGAGTAATAGGATGTACTGTGCCCAAACACTGGCCAATATATTGAATATGTTTATAGTGTGTTCACTCGCAGCTTACAATGGAGGCCTATAGGGTCAATTTGTAGGAACAGCTGATTGTTTGGAGGATGGACACTCGAAGAGCCACTACAGTTTGTCAGAATTTAACCATCATATTTATATTTTATTATTTTAAGGGATAATAACCTTTATGTGTTGATCTCTGATAATTTCCGCTCTTGGGGAAGCAAAAGTCAGCGTGTAAAACTTTGTGGTAGTAAAAATTTCATAAACGAAACGCATACATGATGAACAAGTTTAGCTAAGTAAACGCCTCCTCACGACTTGTCACACAGCGCAGCAAAGGATGTCCCTTTAATTTTGTATTTTTTCCCTTATTACCATAGCAGAGATCAACAAAAAAAAATTCCCCCAAAAACATCATAATATAAACACGTTATATTAAATACTGAAAAACTGTAGTGACTCTTCACAGGACCGTCTGCCAACCAATCAGCTGCTTTGCTACAAACTGACCCTCGGCCTCAGTTGCAAGGTTCAAGTTGGATAGACTATAGTTATGTATGAATATAACAGTACAGTAGGACAAGTGGTTTGATTTTTTTCTTACTCCTTAGTAAAAACGATTTTACTAATAATGGTGATAATTTAATATTTATCGTTTTACAAGTGTTTGAATATTATATTGCAAAATCAGTACTTCAAGTCATCACAAGATTAAGAATTTTTTCAAACAAAAATGCCTGTCCTTATTAGTACAGTGGAGTTGCAATAATTCACTGGTTAGGTACCAGAAGACATAGTGAATTATCAAATCACAAATTAGAGTTTAATTGATTTAAATGGAAATAATCATTTAGGTTCCAGAGGCCAAAAATACACACTTTATCTTAGGTGTGAGAAGTTGCTTTCTTTTTAAATATTCAAAGCTAAAAATATTGAAAGTTTCTTGTAAGTAAAGTACTTTCAGGAGTACTTGTGTGTTCAGACTTGATATCAAGCACCTGAACTGGGTTTTTTTTCACTGTACTTTACATATCTGAACTACAGCTGCTACATATCAGTAGTATGGGTGGCAATAAGTGTATCGAGCAATTCTAAGCAAATATTTACTTCTCTGATATAGTTAAATGAACCTAAAAGCATTTTTATATATAAGTAACAGCAAATTCAGAGTAGCTTGGCTCTGAGAGTTCTCTACCAGTGCATTAGAAAATTTATACATTTAATGTCGAATTCTTATTTTTTTAACCCTTAAAGCCCAGGTGACGTTCTTAATTTTCGCGGCATATTTTGAATGGCCAGGAAGACGAAATATTTTGTATGGGATATTTATTGGCAAATAAACTCACACGTAATCTTTGTCTCGAGTCTAGTGACCCGCCAGTTATAATGATGGATGCACGTCCTTCATCGTTTCGTGACCCACCTCGCTCCTCCACACCCAATCGAAGGCATTTGCTCGACAGTACCGCTATTCATCAAGATTTGCTTGATTTGAGGGGCAGTGAAATACAATACTGTAGTATCAGGTGATGGGGAGGAAACAGAGCCAGATGATTTCAAGTTTGTTGAGGCGGTCAGCGGTGAGGACAATGGTGCTCACTCCCCCTTCCCACCCTCTCAGTGAGGCCGTGGACATAAGAGGACCACGTGCAAGCCAGCCACAACAGTACACATAGAGTGACAGCACTAATTTTATGCCTGAAATACCAGTTTTCTAATGTGGATTTAAACAAGTATACTCTTTGCCAAAATATGCCTGTGTGGGGAGTCCGATGGGTCTTACGTTGCCTGGGTTATAAGGATTAAAGTACTGTACTGTAGTAACCTTAACAAATGTTTGTAGCTTAAAAGAGCAAGTCTTAGCAGCTGACCTCATGAGCAGTGTGTTCAACTCTGATGAACTGTAGATACATAATTGGTTCCTATTGGTTAATTAAACATCACTAAGGAAAACTTATAAAAGGACACATTATTGTAATTCATTGTTTGTATCTTTGGTCTCCTCAAGAATGTGTCTATTCTTTCATAACTAAAGAGTGCTTAACTGTGAACTAAAATATTCAACCCCTCTTTTTTTAGTTTATTAATTCTTTTTCTTGCAATGAACAGACTGTTAGAGAAGTACGAGTTGAAAGTAACTGTTAGGAATTGCTACCACAATGAATGGCGATAGAAATATAGTGTTTAAGAATTAGAAAACAATTGTATAGTACTGTATTTTTATATTCTTACTGTGAGTGTTCCTACCCATGTAATGGATGGCATACTTAATTGCAATATTTTTGGGTGGATGAGTCCTATGCACCATTAACTCTAATGTTAGTTCTGCAGGGAAACACTTGTTAACTAACATTGTATGTCTTTCATTTGTACTGATTACCACATATACAGTAAAATAACCATAATTAGTATCCCTCTATTTCCAAATCACTCATAATTCATAATGTTTTGCTGTTACAAAATACATATGAAAGAATTATGAGAGACCTCCCGTCTCAGTGCAAACAAAGTACAGGTACTATACTGTACGTGTCATGGAGTGCACATCTACGGACTACCGCTCAAGCTTTTTTCCACTTGATTTACCATCGTGTCTGATAACCATGAACCAAGCATCTAAATCTGGTATAGAGGTTCTGTACTTAGAAACATTAAAATTTTGCTTGGGGCAAATAACGGAGAAGGTGTCCCTCATTCATAATATCTCATAAGGGCTAGAGCCCCTGTCAAATTATGGGAGTTTTACTGTATGACCACACATTGGTGTGTGATACATCTGTAACAGTACTTTTTAAGCATGACATAACCATGTACCGGGGTATTTTGTATGAGTTATGGTTATATTAAATATTTAAATGTATCTTATACATAGTGTTACTGGGTAAAGTTGTTAACTTAGGCTTTTCAAGTCAGTGCATTTCAGGAGTGTGGGTCAGTATGTAATCATTACAATTAGAGGTTTACTTAGAGTAGAATCAAGGAAATGGCTTGTGCAGGATTTTTTAATCACTGGCAAATTTTATTAAAAACTGTAAAATTAACCAGGAGTGCCTATAACTGGCATGTGTGTTCATGTTATATTGCATAGACATAGCCCTTATAATTTATTGTACTACATAATAGCTCTTCACAGAAGAGAGGCATTTGTATATTAATGATGATGTTTGTATGAAGCTACTATACTGTATGTAGTATATCAACAATCTATCCTAGTCACTATTGCATGTGGAGTGAATTCTCGTAAATATTGGAACTTAAGGTTCTGTAAAAGAAAAGGGGTAATTGTACGTGGGTGGAACCAGAAGATTTGTTGATCTGCTATACAAATCAATATGAGAAGCAATAGAGGTCTTTCATGTATCACATTTGCACCTCTTTTATGTGAATTCTGTTCACAGGTAAATGCAGCCATACTTACTGCACTTAACTTTCATGTGTATAAAAATTATTAACCATAACTTTAGCTGTATGATTTACAAGATATGTAATTCATGAAGCTCTGGGATCCACTACTTTAGCTTTAAATCTCATTTTAATACACCAGCCAAAGATTCATTTTGTCAGTCATGACTACAATACTTTTCTAAAACAACCAGATAAGCTAAATTTATTATACAAGGAAACGTGTTTTATAGCGTCATGCATTCCAGAAAAAAATTGGAGGAAGTGAAGGGCAGTTTGCTATTTCCTAAAATATTTATTTGTGTTGCAAAGCATAAACTTATGTTTGTGGACACACATTAACGCTGTTACACAAGAATTTGAGGTCTATATTATCACCAATTTATACAGATTTATTAATTAAGTTGAGTCATTAATTGCTGCATAGTTTTAAATTTTTAATATTGTAATATACAGTACTGTACAGTATTACGTACTGTATATGTACTA